GTTATTGCCCTTTGTTCATTTCAGTATTTGTTTTTTTGTCTGGAGATTTTCTCCTACATTTTTTATAACATGTCAGCTAACCACTCTTAGAATGATGCAGATCTTATTTCAACGTAAGAAAGTATATAACACTATACAGCATTCGAGGGCGTATATTGTTCCTCCCCGCGGTACTCTTGTTGCTTTTTTATGAATAAAAACTGAAATTGTTGATATTGCAATTGTTTTTCCTTTTTGTTGTCATTGTAAATAATTCTGACGAAGAGCACAAGTTTCTCTAAAAACCACGAATTGTCTGTTTGTACAATCGTAAGATTTCGGCTTGAACGGCCAGAAGGGAATCAACAGCAATAAACGTTTTTAAATCCCAGCTGTGCTTGTAATTATCGCAAATGCTTATAGTAGTCCTAGTTAAGGAAAAGACCTCTGGAAGGAAGTGTTTGATAGTGTGTAAATATTCACTTAAAATACCAAAACGTTAAGTTTGGTGCAAAAAGATCATTACAAATCTTTGTTAAATTTGAAAATAATTTCAATTTCAATATTCAGTATCACATCTAAAAAGGCTGAAAAACATCCAGATGAGCGTAACAACCGTAATAAGACCGACAATAAATTTGCAGATTGTTCGGAGTTTTACGTCCTCGCAACTATCCGGGTCATATGAGGGCATGTGTCTAGGGAGACACGGAAGGAATTGTACAGTAGATACAGAAGACAGAAAGGTGTTGAAATGGGGGCAGCAGATTAATGTTAGTCCCTTCCATGTTCTCTTGTCTTTACACGAAAAACAACAGATTTGTAAAGTAGTCGTCTTTTACTTAGGGAAATACTCTACCTTTAACAGAAAGTAGGAAGAAAAGAAAAGAAGAAATCAAAGATAGGAAAACGAAAAAGAGCCCAAGTGTTGCAATTTGGGCTTCAGATCAATTTTGGTCTCTTCCATGTCCCGATCGTAGAAGACACTGAAGAAAACACCCGAATGTAAAGGAGTCCTCACATTAGACGCCTTTTAGGATACACATGCAGTTGGATACAACAGGTCTAATCCGAAGGGCCAAGTGACCTAATGGCTTGGTGCGGCGTCCGTCGTCCGGCCTCCGTCGTCCGTCCGTCGTCAACTTTTTACATTAAACAACTTATTCTCAGTAACCAAAAGGCCTAGGGTGATGATATTTGGCCCGAAGCATGCTTAAATGAAGGGCTTCCTAGCTTGTTCAAATAAATGGCATTCATCAATTGTCAAGGTCACTGGGGTCAAATATGTTAAAATCTTTAAACAACTTCTTCTGAAAAAACTAGAGGCCTAGGGTGATGAGATTTGGCCAGTGACATGTTGAGATGAAGGGCTACCAAGTTTATTCAAATAAATGACCTTGCCTTATGTTCAAGGTCACAGGGGTCAATTATGTTAAAAACCTTTAAACAATTTCTTCTGAATAACCTAGAGGCCTAGGGTAGTGATATTTGGCCAGTAACATGCTGGGATGAAGGACTACCAAGTTTGTTCAAATGAATGACGTTGACATATATATTCAAGGTCACAGGGGTCAAATATAATTAAAACCATTGAATGACCTCTTTTAAATAAGCAAAAGGCCGAGGGTGATGATATTTGGCCATTGACATGCAGGGATGAAGGACTACCAAGAGAATGAACTTCGCCCATATTCAAGGTCAGAGTGGTCAATATATGTTTAAATCTTTAAATAATTTGTTCTGTATAACCAAAAGGTCCCGGGTAATGATATTTTGCCAGAAGCATGCTGGGTTGGAAGACAATACACTCTGTTCAACCTAATGTCCTTGTTCGACATTCAATGTCACGTCACAGGCGTCATATGTTCAAATATTTTAATAGGTTCTTATGAATCAAACACTGATATTCTGCCTGTAGCTGTAGTTTAGTCAACTTTTAAGATTACAAGTGTGAGATTAATACCAGGTGAGCGATACAGGCCGATTCTGAAAGAAAATTTCATGGGAGGATGGGGATTGCAGAATTCGAGATTTGCTTTTGTGCCCTATGCTTTGTGAGGATGGTTTGGTTTTATTTTGTTTAATGTCCTATCAACAGCTAAGGTAATTAAGGACGTGCATCCATGTGCGTTGGGTATGTGTGCTTGCGTGTATGTGTTTTGAGGATACGGGGTATGTTTGTGTATTGGCTCCTTGTAATGTCGACTTTATACTGCTTTCTCGATGAAATAACATGCCAAAGGCACTCAGCACAGCATTCCGCCCTGTCATATTATACTTAAAACGGATGAATCGTTGTTATATACAACACTCATCTGGCGTTCCTTCTTTAACAAAGATCGAACGTTGAAATTGAGATACCTAGGTAATCAGGTAGTTTTGAATGATACACAGTGCTTTCAATGCCACCTATATTCACCTGAAACGCCATACACAATTAACGACTCAGAATTCGTCGTCGGGGACAATCTTATAGTGTGCGAGCTGTACAGCTGCTGTGTCCAGCTCCTTACGGTGGACTTTCGACAATTGAGGACCGTTGTATCGCATATGTGGTTCCTAATTGGCCTGCTACGCTGACCGGATGTGGGTGGGGTACTTCGACGGAAGTGTGAAAGTTTACGATATCGGTTCCTGATTGGTCACACATTGATAGCAAAATCGGATTGAATTCACGTCAGTAAAGAGGAATCAGGAAAAAAGAAGGAAAATAACAACCTAAGATATCTATATTATTTGTTAGCCCGAATAAAAATGATCTGTGAAAATATTACGCGAATCGAGTAATGCGCTTTCTTGCTATACGGCGATCAGTGTAAAACTAGCCTGTTCGAACTGATCAATCTCGCTTTGTTCTAACCCTTAACCACGTGACGTCACAGGCGACACGTCTGGGTCAGAAAGGCAAGTTTACAATACACCTACCGCAAGTGAATAGAGATAGGTTAGCAATATGAGATTTGTCACATAAAACAACGTAAAATTTGCACACAAAGGTAGCTTCAATTGCTGTTTTTCAACATACGTCCGGTACGACTTTTACATGAAGTATCATACGAATAATTCCATAATGGTTAGGTACAGAAATGACCGAAATGAAGGAACAAAAGGCCCAACGGGCCTTGTTGCGCACATATATAACATTTAATTAGTCAATAGTTACAACTGTTTGTGAGTTTTTGAAAAAAATACATTTCTGCAACTAAAAGGCCTGGTAGACTTTGTTGGATTTCCAGATCAGAACGAAAAGTAAAAACACTGTTTTTGGAGAAGAAGTTTAGATATTAGCAAAATATTTAAAGTAGCTACAGTAAATAACGTCTTCGCTAAATTTAATTTATTCTAGCTTCTAAACTAACAGACAACTGTCTATAAAACGTATAGCACAAACATGATACACAATATGTCTTTATATGTTATTTGTTGATGTATAACAAAACAAAATATCACCTCAGGATTCCTTAGACCCCGGGATTCTGTCAGTTATTCATTTTCATATCCCACTGCAACCACAGGATGGAAATTCTTACCAGGTTTAAATTATTTTCCACCGAAACAAACGAAAGCAAAAGATATCTTAGTGTTAGTTCTTAATATAAGCGAAAGTAAAATGTACCCCTCCCCAGGGGGGATTGGGTGAAAATAATTAGTTTGATAAAAATAAAATTTGATTCCAGCAAATGTGGGTCTGGATCCTTTTTTTGTATAAAGTTGACTTGCCATTGCTACATAAAACAACACATGTCTATTGTTGACAAATATGTTGGCACTCAAAGAACACCCTGTTATAAGCGGACATTCATGCGTTGGAGGTTTCAATTGTTGACACTACAAGTGTATCTGTGAAAGCAGATGCGATACAAAATAATTCCCATATAATTAGACTGATGATTGTTCAACAAATTACTTTGGGCTAAAAAATAACACGCAGTGCTTTGACATAGCCAGATTATCGCTTTTAACTTTTGCAATACTGCCTTTTCTTTAATTATCGGGGTTTTTTTTTGGAAGGATGTTACTGTTACCAGCTTGGATGCATCAGGCTAATTTTTGTTAAAAAGGTAAGTGGTCACCCTACCGACCAGTTTTTTCCTCCTGTAACCACTGTAGGCTTATTATATCCCTTTTAGTGTCATCGTAAAAGGCGATTATGTGTGGTGTAATGCAGAATCGGGGCTTTCTTCCGTGTCTTTTGCTAAGTGGACGTTGACGAAATCAAAACTGACCTGTTACTGGGGCTATGTTTGGATCTAAACTTTTCAATTTTCTTATCCCACCTACCTTTTCACTGTCTCTCTGGTGACAGTGACCAAAATTGATCTTTCTCGTTTCTTATCGTTCTTGTATTCTTTCCCTTTGGTCTACTTTCTGGCAGTGTTCCCGAAATACCCCTCCTTATGTGACTGGCTCTTGTGAGGACGTTAAACAACAAACGAAACCTCTCATTTTGGCTTTAATGTTTATTTTTTCGGAACGTAACGAGTTGAAAATTCGTCATTAATGGAAATGGCAACAACTGGTTTGCTGGAATGCTGTGCTGGATGTCTTGCATAGTTTTTTTCAGTGAGATTATAAAGTCGGCATCAGATCAGCGCTATCACAAGGAGGCAATTACACCACCACCAACATACCCCGTGTCTGGCATGCATACACACATGCATGCTTACATAACACATATAGAGGTACGTCCTTGAATGATCTTAGGACGTTAAACAAATTTAAACCAAACCAATCCTACTCAGTCTCCCAGCTTCTATTGTAAAATGACACAATATTTGTATATTTTCAGGTATTTAACTTTTATTTTTTTTTTATATATATTTTGCTATTGTTTCAACATTATTTCATAGTTCGTACAATACGAGTTTATATAGGCTTATTTATATATTGAATAATAAATGTTTGTGTTAAATATTTGATGCTGAAATTCATTCGGTATAAATTTAATTTGTACCAAGCCTGCTCAATCTGTGTTGCAAGGGAAGCAACTCTTAAATGAATTCTCAGAAACGAAAGTAGAAATACCACTTCCGGTCGGTAGCCAAAACAGAGGTAAGAAAGAATATCCGTCTTATTTACTAAGCTTCATGTAAATTGTCCACAGTAAACATCATCGGATATGGTTATTGACATCACCAAGGGAACTATACAGTCAGGTAGCTTCTTAAGGAGGAAATGTTTGGAAGAAGTCGTACAAACACGTAGTAGGGTTAGGCCTGACCTGTACTGTCGTATCATAGGTGTCCTGGCTCACACAGATATTTCAGTATTAGTAACAGGTCTTTGATGGGTTCAACAGGTATTTGATGGGTTCTTTTCCAAGAAACACATTGTAATATAAACTATTTTAGCTATAACCTATTAATGTATAATATTTTTATACATATTACTAATTCCCCGGTTTCGGTTTAGTTGCCTTGCTCAAGTCAGAGAACGTAAGGTCTAAAAAGTCCCAAAACGATTTTATAATCATAATGAATTTCAATCACCTGATACACACGTGTTCAAAGATTCAATTAAAATCGGAATTTGCATACGTAACTGAACTGTATTTAACCTGTACATTATCTTTTTAAAATGGATCATATCGAGATTAATGTTGTCAACAATGAGGCATTCAGGCTGATGCCTTCATGATGCCCCCCAAATGAACCTAGTCCCTTGTTCATAACATGGGAAACTTTGAGACCCCTCCCTATAATAATACATACAATTCTTGAGCATGAAGATTTGCATACAACTATGCTGGCAGGATTGGCCCATGGGAATGACCCTGATCCCTAGGAAGATCTTATTTGGCCTTACTACTTTCACATGATCTTCTACATTCATGTAATCTCTGTAATATTATAGGATATGATATATATATATTACAACCAATCAGTTTGCTATCGATATATTTTGACATCTTTTACACATTTTAGCCTCTTTTTTTCTGGTTGTGATATATTCATATTTTGTGAATGTCTATTTTTACATCGTTGTTTGGCCCTTACTAACTCAAATTGTCGATGAGCCGTAAAACAATACAAAAAATTAAATTGAATTCATTGAGAATCTTTTGTCATGAATGATATGTTATAAGGTCCCGTGATATATATTGATGAGGAAATCAGCCTTAATGCCTTATTAATGACCAAGTTGATATTAATATATACCACATTAAATATTATGATAACGTATAGATACAACTATAATACAGTCAAATAACATATATTAATTCCTTTGTTTAATTGGAGTCTCTGAATGTGACTTATTAGGGGGTTGGGCGATTCCAGCATTTGTAGGGTCTTGCTGAACTTTAACAATTCGCTTTAAAAGGGAGGAATCAAACGATTCAAATCCCTGTTTATATTATCGCTACACAGGGCACGGATATTAAAATTAAAAAGAAAATAAGAACAACTAGTTTAATTGAGTGGGATCATTATTGCCTGAAAAATAAAGAGCTTGCTTATACAAAAATCCTGGGTAATATAAAAAAGTGTTTTACTCCCGTGCTCTATTGAAGTGCGCCTTCTCCCTTCTTTTTTTTTTTTTTTTTTTTT